CCGGAGCCAGGAATAGAGCCGGGGGCTCCTGCGCTGTAAGTGGGGGAGGGACCGGAGCCAGGAATAGAGCCGGGGGCTCCTGCGCTGTAAGGGGGGAGGGGCCGGAGCCAGGAATAGAGCTGGGGGCTCCTGCGCTGTAAGTGGGGGAGGGACCGGAGCCAGGAATAGAGCCGGGGGCTCCTGCGCTCTCTGCACAGACCTTCCTCCCGCCGAGCCCAGTCTGTGGCAGGAAGCCTCGTGTTGCAGGCTCCTGCTGTCACTTTCCTCTGTGGTATTTTCTGTTCCTGCTTTTCTCAGTAGCTGCCTCTCAGCAGAGGCGTGAGTGGAACTGTTTCCGTGGCTGAACGGTCCCTGTGGCGCCCCGGCTTGACCCCTGCCTGCTGCACTCACGCAGGGTCCCAGAGCCTGAGCCAGACTCCGAGTCCCAGGTGCCTCGTGCTGGGCTCAGGACCCCGCTCACCCGGCTGGGAGGCAGGACAGCTGGGGTGACCAGACGTCCCGGTTTTATAGGGACAGTCCCGCTATTTGGGTCTTTTTCTTCGATAGGCTCCTATTACCCCCCACTCCCCCATCCCGATTTTTCACATTTGCTGTCTGGTCACCCTACAGCCCATGGCGAGGGGCTGGCCTGGACTCGGGAGCTCCAGGTTTAGTTCTGGGCTGATCCAGGGAGTCGCTGAGGAGCCTGCCCAGGGCTCAACACCCGTCAGTGGGGCCAGATTTGGAAAGAGCCCCCGACTGGGGGCTGACCCTGGCCCTGTCTCTGCACGGGCTGGGGAAATAGGCATTGGAGACAGCAAGGGGTCTGGGGACAGGGCCGTGGGGCTGTGCATAGCAGTGGGCAGGCCCTCGCCCCTTGGGGTGCCCCTGCTGAGTTATCTGTTCTTTCTGCGTAGGATCCCACAGGGCGTCTCATCCCCAGGGCGTCTCCCCCGCCCGGCTCCCCTCAGAGCAGCAGCTGCAGCCGCCAGTGTCTTGTTTTGAGAGGATAGGGTGACCAGATAGAAAGTGTGAAAATTTGGGACAGGGGATGGGGGTAATAGAAGCCTATTTAAGAAAAGCCCCAAATATCGGGACTGTCCCTATAAAATCGGGACATCTGGTCACCCTATGAGAGGAGTTTTTACAGCAATACCCATGCAGGCCTGTGTTGATGTCAGAGATCTCTGCTGGGGGCAGCAGGCGGGGCGGGCTCGGCTGGCCCCTAGTTCCTGGAGCTCATTCCCAGCCTGGCCCCGGCCCCCCCCACACCCACGGCTTTACCCTGGTGCTGGCGGGTCCCAGAGGGCCCTGGCAGCCTCCTCCCTGGGCTCTTCCAGACATGCTGGGCCCAGGGCGCACGTTGGAGCTAAGGCCTGAGACCTTGAACCTGGAAGTTGAAGTTTTGAGCAGCTCTTTGTGTGACCTTTTATGCAAATCACTTAATGAGCTAATCTGCATGTTTAGAATTGTGCGTATTTAACGGTTTGGCTTGTCACTACACCCTCCCCAAGCATAGGGCGGGTGTGCAGCTGCCGGCTGCTGGGGGCCTGCGCTGTTGGCTGCTGAAGGCTGCAGGGGTCCTGGGATGGAGGTGGGTGGCAGCTGGGGGTGGGACCCTGCTGCCAATAGAGGGTGCCCCCAGCTGGGCCAGCGGGAGAACAGGGGGAGGAGGCGCCCCGCTGCCTGCAGAGCAACCCCCAGTCCGCTAGTGCCCGGCACGCAGAGCTGCAGCTCAGGGGCTGGGCAGAGCCAGGCTGGGCTGTGGGCGTGTGGGAAGGAGTGCCATGGGCGGGAGCATCCCTCCGGCTGCTTGACAGCCCTGGCCCTGGGCACCGTGAAATCCCCACCCCCCAGGAACCTGGATCCTGCCCGCGCTGCTCACGCCCGTGTCCCTGGCTGGCAGCACCCTGCAGATCTTCCCGCAGCCTCGCGGCAGCACCCGGATCCAACCTGCCTCCAGCTCCATCAGCACCCTCCATCCTGGGGCTGCTGAACTCAGACCCCTTGGGAGCCCCGAGACTGGCCACGCTGGGGCTGAGAGTGGGCAGGACCCCCCAGGGCTCTCCTCTGTGCAGTGTCATAGAGGGGTCTCTCCTGCCCCCCTGCCCCAGCCAGTCACTTCCCCCGGGACTGCCCTGCCCTGCCCACTGAGTACAGGCTGGGAGATGGTGGCAGCATGGGGCCTGGCGCGGGGCGGGGTTACAGACAGCTCTGTGCCAGAGCAGAGATGAAGGGGGCATGTTGGGAGTGACGGGGGGCTGGGTCAGCCTGGCACACCAGTAGCGGTGGTTGTGACAATGGGGGAACACCAGGAGCAAAGGGCGGCCCCACCCGGTGCTGGGGAACAGCTGAGGCAAGTTGTCCGCAAGGCACTGAGAGGCCGAGCGTGCCAGGTTTTCCCTAGCCCCAGAGACGGATGAGCTGGGCTGGGTGAGGCAGTGGGAGGGCAGAGCCGCCTGCAGGGGGCTGGGGTCCAGAGCTGCCCCTTCTCACCACCCCCTAACTCCCCTGGCTGTTGTTTTGCAGCTTTGTGGAACTTTTCGGGCACGAACGAGCATCACCTGCCGCTGCAGATCGGGGATACCGTGCACATCCTACAGGCCTCGGAGGGTAAGTGGGGCTGGGCACTGCAAGTGGGGGAACCGGCTCCACAGACCCCAGGAGAATCCTCTTGGACATTTCACCGCCTGTGAAACCATCAGCCACACTCTTCTTGAAATCATGTCCTCCCTTGGCTTTTGGGATGCTGCCCTCTCCTGGTCCTCCTCCTCTCTCAGCTCCCTTCAGTGGATGTCCTCGTCCCCCTCCCGCTTTCCGTGTGGGGTCCCCTTCTCTTCTCCCTCTGCACCTGGGCTCTGGGTAACCCCGTTCTCAACCACAGAGTCAGCCACCCTCTCCATGCCCAACCCACTGATCTCCCTCTGCTCCAGACCGTCTCCTTCAGGCCAAACGACAATCTGGGCCTTTCCCTCTGACGCCTCCTTGGGACTGTCTATCTAGCTGCCAGCTCCAGCTCCTAGTCTTCCCCCAAGCCCTCCCCGCTTGGACAACGCCACCATCCTGTTCTGTCACTCAGGCCTGTAACTGGGGCATTGTCTTCACCCCGGCCTCTCGCCAGGTCCTCACATGCAGCTGTGTGTAAATCTGGCTGGTTCTTTCTGCAGAGCGTCTGTGAGACAGGGCCGTTCATATCCCTCCCCACAGCTCCCACTGTCCCCCAGGCTCTGATCAGTTACTGACTGTCCGTCCCGCCCCGCTCAGAACCATGCAGCTCCTAGCCCAGAGTAGGGTTGGAAGGGACCTCAGGAGGTCATCTAGTCCAACCCCCTGCTCAAAGCAGGATCAATCCCCAACTAAATCATCCCAGCCAGGGCTTTGTCAAGCCTGACCTTAAAAACCTCTAAGGAAGGAGATTCCACCACCTCCCTAGGTAACGCATTCCAGTGCTTCACCACCCTCCTAGTGAAAAAGTTTTTCCTAATATCCAACCTGGACCTCCCCCACTGCAACTTGAGACCATTACTCCTTGTTCTGTCATCTGCCACCACTGAGAACAGTCTAGATCCATCCTCTTTGGAACCCCCCCTTCAGGTAGTTGAAAGCTGATATTAAATCCCCCCTCACTCTTCTCTTCTGCAGACTAAATAACCCCAGTTCCCTCAGCCTCTCCTCGTAAGTCATGTGCCCCAGCCCCTTAATCATTTTCGTTGCCCTCTGTTGGACTCTCTCCAATTTTTCCACATCCCTTCTGTACTGGGTAGACCAAAACTGGACACATTACTCCAGATGTGGCCTCACCAGTGTCGAATAGAGGGGATATCAGAGGGGTAGCCATGTTAGTCTGAATCTGTAAAAAGCAACAGAGGGTCCTGTGGCACCTTTGAG